GTGGTAAGCTGGCTAGCACTACGGATGAAAGGGACTTGGGGGTCATGATTGACCACAAGATGAACATGAGCCTTCAATGTGATGCTGCAGCTAGTAAAGCAAGCAAAACGCTGGCTTGCATCCATAGATGCTTCTCAAGCAAATCCCAGGACATCAGTCTCCCGTTGTTCTCGGCCTTGGTGAGGCCACAGCTGGAGTACTGTGTCCAGTTTTGGGCTCTACAATTCAAAAAGGATGTGGAGAAGCTTGGGAGAATCCAGAGAAGAGCCACGTGGACGATCACAGGTCAGGAAAACAGACCTTATGACGACAGGCTGAAAGCCATGGGGCTCTTTAGCCTGGAAAAGTGCAGGCTCAGGGGAGATCTGATGGCCACCCATAAGTTTATCAGGGGTGTTCACCAGGATCTGGGGGAACAATTGTTCACTAGAGCACCCCAGGGGATGGCAAGGTAGAACGGTTATAAACTCCTGCCAGACCATTTCAGGCTGGACATAAGGAAGAATTTTTTTTACTGTCTGAGCCTGCCATCGGAGGTGGTTCAAGCACCTACTTTGAACGCCTTCAAGAGAAATTTGGATGCTTATCTTGCTGGGATCCTATGACCACAGCTGACTTCCTGCCCCTGGGGCAGGGGGGGCTGGACTCAATCTTCCAAGGTCCCTTCCAGCCCTAATGTCTACAAAATCTATGAAACTTGGCCATGGGTCTAGGGGAGGACAGAGTCTGATCAACTTAAATTTAGGGGTGGGATTAAAAATGGAATTTATTCCTCTCCAAAGGGACGCCTCTTCTCCAAAGCTCCAGCCATGGATGAAGAGCAGCAGTAGGTGAACTATCTGGTTCAAGTGCGGTTCTATGGGGCAGTGTCTATGTCCTCTATGTTGTCTAGCTCTTCTGCCTAAAAGTACCCAAGCAGAATACAAAGGGCCAGGCACTAGTAACGATTAATGTGCTGCCTGAGCACTTGCAGAGGTGAAGAGAACTAGAGGCATTTGCCTGTTCCATGTCAGAGGAGCCCTCACATTGCACTAAGCCTACTTTCAGTGGTGTGCTATATAGAAACATTGGATCAAAAGGGGCCTCTTGTCCCATCAAGTCCCCTCTCCTGCATTTGCAGGCAGCCACTTATCCAACAAGTCCTCAAAGCTATCTACTCCAGCCCCTTAGACACCAGAGCATATGTCTGTGTATTTTCATCATGGCCAATCAGTCTTTACAACCAGCCAGGGTTCTTTCCCAGTCTGTGACACTGAACTCTGTGCTGGTTGCTTATATGCACTAACATGCACCTGGCCCTTAACTCATTGTATCTCCATATGCTAAAGGGGTTTTCACTTTCACAGCTGCGCAGAGCACTTCCGTATTGTGCTTTAAAACAAAGGCAGTGGCTCTTGTATTTGAGCTCATTTACCTGGAAAAAGAACAACTGATTCTTTTCCTGGGGCATGCTGTGCACAGATTCTCTATTGTTTTAAGAAATGTGGTGATAGAAGGTGTTGGACTGGCAGCCCCTGGGGATGGATGGCTTCTGCCATAGGCGAGGCATAGGGGAGGCATGGTGGGGCACGTGCCCCTCTGAAATTGGCCCTCACTGGCCAGGGAGTGGGGAGTGCCAGCCGGTGCCCTCCCTGAGAAGCGCCAATGGCACTTCCAGTTTTTCCAGCAACAATTCCAGTTTGCCGCTGGTGCTTCTGGGGTCAGCGATTAGCTGCTGGGGGACCTCCCCCCACCCAGAGCCGGGAGGCACCAGTCACCCACAGTCTGCTTATCCTCAGAGTGAGTACTGCAAAAGTGGCAGCTGTGCACAGTTCCCTCCCTTCACACCACCACCGTCACCAGGGATCTTGGTTTTCCCTGATTAAAAAATGGCAGATTCTCTGATTAAAAAACCCCCCAAAATCTGTGTTTAAAGTGAAAGGCCCCTCCTTTCCCCACCCCGGCCCTGCTTGTTCCCCTCACTCCCAGCCCCACAGCCCTCTGGCCCTGCTCATGCTCCTCACTCCCCTCCCCACAGCCCCCCAGTTCTGCTGCTGCCCCTCTGTTGCCCCCTCCAGCCTCTCCCCAGCCCTGCTGGAGGGGGTCCCCAGCTGCCAGGGCTACAGGGCCAGAACCTGGGTCCACAACCCCCTGCTGCTGGCAGGAGGTGGCAGCTGCTGCAGCCGAGCAGAGCGCCCCCGCCCAAATGCCTGCTGCAGGCTTGGGCTGGGGGTTAGTGGGGCCGCCTCCCTGCCCCGCATGCACTACCAGAGGGGCAGGGGGGACCTATGCCCCCCAGATCTGTGTGCAGGGTGGGTTCAGGCTGGGCACTGCAAGCTTGGGCTCTCACCCTGCTGCCCTCCCCCCGGGTCTCCACAGCTCAGCAGGTGCGACCTGAGCTCTGCAAGGAACTGTGCTCCACGCTGTCCTGGTCATGTGTCCCCTGCATGACCACCACTGCCACCCCTCCTGCTACCACATGCAGGGGATGCGTCACCAGGGCAGTGCATAGCTCACAGTGGCAAGCAGCTTTCCTGTGTGGCCTCACTATGCCCTGCAGCACTGGGTTGTACCCAGGGTCCCCCCTGGCCCCTGAAAGTGTGTGCAGTAGTGGGGAACTCTGCCAGCCTGCAGAGAGCTCTTTGCAAAAGTGCAAAATCCATGGGTTTCTCTGCTAAAATGAGAAATCAGCATTTTGCTCCAATAAAGGGGGAAATCTGTGTTTTTCTCTGTTTCCATGGGAAAGGGAAAACTACAATCCCTGATTATCACATAAGTGTGCATCCAGCTGCTCATAGCAGTTCCTTTTGATCATAACACCTCAAAACCCATTTTTGTCTTTCCCTTATTACATCAGAAAGAAGAAGGGGACTTGAGTCTCTATGGCCTGTGCAGTAGTGGTTGGGGACCGAGCCAAGCCCTCAGAAGGTGCTCATCACACACTGCACCAGTATAAACTGGACTATGTTCTTACAGGCAATCTGCTCTGATATCTGAGGGGCATTTTTTTGTTCAGCTTCAAAGGAGCAACACAATGATGAAACACTGCATATTATTGCTACCCCATGAACTAGTCATCCCTTCCTTGCGCTCAACTATGACATGCAAGGGATTGAGCCAATAGGACATCCCAATTAATTTTGAAATACTTGGAAGTCAAACAAGTCAGGGCTAAGGCTGAGAGAGCAACACTAAACCTATCCACATGTGACCAAAGTCTGGAAAATGCCTTCAAAATAAAATGCACCTCCTTGGGGCATCTTTCTGTAGTAACCATCAGAAATACTAGGAGGGCATGGATCAGGAATCCAAGGCAGGGGATAGAAAGTTAGAATAATGGCATATTTCAGCTTGAATAGCTTAGTATTAGTGTCAAACGTATCAGAGCTGACAAATCCAACATCATCTGTATCTTAAACTGTAGAATAAAAATAGTATGAGATTATATCATTACAGAGACTTAGAGGATTTGGTGGCTTCTTAGTACCTATACACCCCCAGAAGCAAGAGAAACTAGAAGCACTGTAAATAGATATGTATGTGCAGAGCAGGTGTGTAGAAATTTTCACTCTTGCTTAGTTCAGTCCACTGCAGTTTGGCCTTGGTTTAGTCCAAAGTTTGTTCCAAACTCTTTGAGTTAATTGGGAAGGATGCTAGTGAGCAGCTGCTACTCAGATTGGCGCAGTATTGGAATAATGCATTGCAGATGACAGTTCTGGAACGCTACAGGCTGTGATGAGTTAGCAACAGATTATGACCTGTACTTCTTCCACAACAGTGTCAGGAGCTGGCTATGTTATCTTCTCGGTCCTAATCTGCCAGTACACCAAATTACCACATTTTCCAGGCAAATGAATAAACCATCTGGGAAGATCACTATAGATTTTGGGGCTCAGCCTGCTGGACATATGCACCATAGCAGATGAAGAAACCTTGGCCTTTTTAGAGCGACCTTGTCAGATTGCTAACGGGCTGCAAACACATTGTTTTCCTAAGCACGACAACTAAATCATTATCCTCTCTAGTGACAGTTTTCTGGCAACAGATCCTTGTATTTGCTTCCAGCATGTTTCAAGAGAAGAAGTGTATAAATCACTCAGTTTTACACTCAATTTACACAGAGTGAGGGATTGAATGTGTACAGGATCCAAGAATGAATACAGGACCTGAAGCAAACAGAAATGCAAACCCTTTCCCCTAATTAAGAAAGTCTGCAAACTGACCCCATGCAGAAAAGACCCTAGGTTCTTTCTGTTTTAGGAGGCAAGCAGGCTTTCTCCCTAACTCTGCAATGGCAGGTGAGAGAAGGATCAGCTGATTAAATTCGCAAGGCTCTTACCTCACTTACCTTACAGCCTGGAATCCAAGCAGCCACAATTAAACAGAAAGAAAACAAGTTTCCAAAGCCTGACAGGACCTGCCACCTGTTGGTAAGACATGGCATGGCATCTCCTTGCTGCCTCATGCACAATGACACCCCCTCAGCTTCCTTTCCCCATTGGATTGTGCCTAGATTATTTAGACCGTATGTTCCAGACTGATCCTGAGGGATAGTAAACACTACCAAAAGGATGTTTTTATATTTATTCACATGTATACAAAAAGAGAGAAGAGCTGCTCTTGAAGGCGGTGGAAACCTTTGACAAATTTACAAATACAGTTCTTAGAAATCACACTTTTAGTTATTCTGCCTATTTCAGGTGATTAGTTGAGTTTTGGCTAACGTCACAAAGGCTCAAATTAAAATTTCTTGAGTTGATGGCCAGGGTTTGTCTGTAGGCTGTAGAATCATAATAATCAGGTACCGCAATAGTTAATAACTTGACTTAATTCCCACCTTGTTTCTTCACATATAGCTTTCACTCAAGTTTTCAATTATTTTTAGCTCTATCGAAAGTCCCAAGTGCTTGCTTTATTCCAGCATGAAGATCATTTTGGATGAAGAGAAAAGCCCGACAAGCACATTTTAAAGGATTGTTTTTTAAGATAATAGTTTGAGCTGAAAATCAATTACGTACCAGATTCCCTTGCCAATTTCCAGAAAAAAATAATTCTGTGCTCCTGGGAGTTAAGTGCTACAAATCATATATAACAAAGGGATTGAATTTCTGCATTCAGAGAAAAAAAAAGTCAGCCTAAACTAGGGCCTTGCTTTCAGTACATCAGCAGTGTGCAATAGGGTCAAAGGGTGATTTTCCAGAAACGTGATAAGCAATGGATATTTTTTTAACTGACACTGACATCAGTCTCATGCTGAGATACATTTTTTTTTGCTACTGATCAAAGAAATATTTATCAGAACCAAAGACCTCAATTCTTATACAAGAAGAGTGGTCCTAGTCAAAACAGTTTTGAGCAGCCATGTCAAACAAGGAAGGGCACGAGCTCAAGTGGCAGAGGTAAAGTTATAAACCAACAGAGATCCAGAAGTTCAAGTTTAACACAATCCCTTTTTCATATGCAACAAGGCAGAAGATAAGCAGTTAAAAGTAAGCAAGAATTACTGCAAAGAGAGCAACAACACAAACAATCTTAAGTAAAAAGGGTACTGAGGAATAGCTGGTAGAATCCCCTATACTTCTGGTTTTCATGGGCCTGATGATCCGCTCTTTTTGAGTCACGATGGCTCTTCTGGCTCCATCCCACTTCCCTGGCCCACTCAGGCGGTACTGGTACGGTGTGCATGGGCCAAAGAAAACCTCCATGGCTAGCTTAGGATCCGTTAGAAAGAGAGACAGTACGTTGGGCTTGACCCCTGTCAGGCTGGCAATTTCATCCATGTATTGAACAAAATCAACTTGGATGGTGTGGCGTGGGCTCTTCACATACCTGCAAGGAGAGGGAGGAACAGGCATTCTTGAATGTGATGACAGACATGCAGGTCAGGTAATGACATTTCTGAGGGGTACCACACTAGGTGCTTTTTTCCCCCCAGTAATTAATTCTCATTTTCATAGCTTGAGCAAAGGGAGAAAACTGGGTCACCATTTCAAAACTAATAAGCATATGGAACTACCCAGACAAAACAGCCGTTTACCAGAAGGAAATCTCTATGTCCAGCCAAATTCCTGGAGCACTTCTGCTCCTTAAAGAAAATGGCAATGAAACTTCCCAAACTTACACATTCTAACAACAACTCCACAGTCCACAGCAATATCATCAACTTATCCAGCCACATGCTCAGCCCATCTGAAGTGTCTGCACTCTCCTGTGGTTCCCCCCCCACTGCCAAATACATAGCTCAGTAAGGTTCAGCTATATGGACATCTTGGGTATGTGCAGATGAGCATGGTCTGTGGTACTGCAAACACATTTGCAGTGGCACATACTGCACTATCCAGTGTTCTCCGCGCTGCAAGGGTGCACTGCCCAAGCATGTGCTGCACTGTTTTTTTTCCCTGTGTTTTTTTTTACCCCTGGATCTTGGTCGTGTTATCTGTAGGCCCCCTTCCTTTACTTTGCTGGACTTTTGGTCCTCCTCGCCACTGGATCCTCCATCCACTGCCAAAGTTCCTCCACTGGCTGCCTCCCCCTACTTGTGCCCTGCTGGCACTAAACTTGTCCTCTTGGCATGATCCTGGCCATCCACGCCTTCTTGCCTTGGAACACTAATCATGACCCTCTTGGCCCTAACTGCACCTTCCGGGTTCTAGTTGTGGCCTCCAGCCTCCCCCATAGCAATGCCTATGCCTTACAGACATACCCATGTCTTTTGACCCCCTGGGGGAACTGCGGGAAAAAAAAATGGCACAGTGCATACTTGGCTAGTGCACGCTGCTGAAAAGTGGAGCCAGGTCACCCAGAGCTGTGCTGCAGCTGCTGGCCAGGCTCTGCATGGCAGATTCACCATGGCTGCAGCCCCAGATAAAGCTGGAAGTATTTGATCCTGTAAGCAAAGTTTGTGACACACTGTGGGTGTTTTAAAACATGATAAGAAGCTCAGGAAATTCTTGGTCACCTGCTCAAACCTGGTGTAGTTTCCCCAATTATGAGGTGTTATGACAGCATTGGCCTGAGGGTGGCAGTGGTGCCCCCTTTTCGGCTGAACTAATCCTGCCTCTCACTCCAGCTCTTTAGCCTACTCCATAGATTCATAGATGCTGGGGTCGGAAGGGACCTCAATAGATCATCGAGTCCGACCCCCTGCATAGGCAGGAAAGTGTGCTGGGTTTGGATGACCCCAGCTAGATGCCTATCTAACCTCCTTTTGAAGACCCCCAGGGTAGGGGAGAGCACCACCTCCCTTGGGAGCCCATTCCAGACTTCGGCCACTGGAACTGTGAAGAAGTTCTTCCTAATGTCCAGTCTAAATCTGCTCTCTGCTAGCTTGTGGCCATTATTTCTTGTAACCCCCGGGGGCGCCTTGGTGAATAAAACCTCACCAATTCCCTTCTGTGACCCCCTAATGAACTTATAGGCAGCCACAAGGTCGCCTCTCAACCTTCTCTTGCGGAGGCTGAATAGATCCAGTTTCTCTAGTCTCTCCTCGTAAGGCTTGGTCTGTAGGCCCTTAACCATACGAGTGGCCCTTCTCTGGACCCTCTCCAGGTTATCCGCATCCTTCTTGAAGTGCGGCGCCCAGAACTGCACGCAGTACTCCAACTGCAGTCTGACCAGCGCCCGATAGAGGGGAAGTATCACCTCCTTGGATCTGTTCGTCATGCATCTGCTGATGCACGATAAAGTGCCATTAGCTTTTCTGATGGCTTTGTCACACTGCCGACTCATGTTCATCTTGGAGTCCACTAGGACTCCGAGATCCCTTTCCGCTTCCGTGCCACCCAGCATTTCCTAGGCTGTAGGTGTGCTGGACATTTTTCCTCCCTAGGTGCAGCACTTTGCATTTCTCCTTGTTGAACTGCATTCTGTTGTTTTCTGCCCACTTGTCCAACCTGTCCAGGTCTGCTCGTAGCTGTTCCCTGCCCTCCGGAGTGTCCGCTTCTCCCCACGGTTTTGTGTCATCCTCTGAGGAAGCCAGAACACCAAGCCAAGCCGAACCCCCATGGGGCACACGGCCCTGCCCTGCCTTCTCTCCAAGCCAAAGACCCATTCTCTCCCCGCAGTCCCTTCTGCCACCGGCTTCTGCCCCCTCAGACTTCTCCATGGGCCTCACAAGGCAGCGCCAGGAGCTGCACGCAGCTAGGCAGAGCTCTCCCCCACATGCCACACACCCACGCGCCCAAGGCATCTCCGGAGAGCCCGGCACGCGGCGCCCCAGTCCGAGGAGAGCCCGGCTGGCACCAGTAACTTGTCTCGGAGCTGAGAGCTGCTGAGCAGCTCGTCCTTCTGCAGAAGCAGCACCAGGTCCTTGTACACCGACTGCTGGATGGAGTAGCCCAGAATCACCCTTTCACTATCTCTCGATGTAATTTTTTAGCAATAAGGGAAGGTGCCTAGAGCCTTGGAGAGGTCTTGGTTGTGCAATCTGTTGGCCCCCTTCCTTTCCTTTGCTGGATCTTTGGTTCTCCTTGCCACCAGACCTTCCATCCACTAACAAAGTTCCTTCACTGGCTGCCTCCTAATCACGACCCTCTTGGCCCTAACTGCGCCTTAAGGGCTATAGTGGTGGTCTCCAGCCTTCCCCATAGCCATGCCCATGTCTTACAGGTCTTACTCTAATTTGGTTCATCTGGCTCAGGCATCAGCCCTCTCAGCCTCAGTCCCTTTGCTGTCTTTGCCCTCTGGGACTTTGACCTTTGTGGGGCTAAAACAGAAAGTGTTCCTCAGGCACCCCCTCCTGTGGCCTCCATGCTGCCCCTGCAGCCACAACCTGGTCCTCCAGTAGCTTAAATACAAAATACGAACATAAAGCCTTCAGTCCCTAATGCAAGTTTGTACCGTCACACTCACGTCTCTATGCTCTGCAAACTCCTGTCTATGCTGCCAGCTTCCTTACAGCCCCTCCTGCAGACAGGAGCTCCGCTCTAACAAGGGAGAAGGGCCTAATTGACTGCACTGCAGCATTGCCAGGTCTTAAATATGAAATTATTGTATTGGAAGCTCAAGATTATCATATTTGCTGAAAAACTATTACACACTGAAAAATATGCAAAAAAGTATACAAAATGAGCACGCAAATAAGTCTTCTTATTTACTTTCTATCGCTCAGTATAAGATGCCTGTGAGTGAATGAGAACTGGGTTATCAAAGTTGAAGCATGTTTTTGCTGAGGCAAGTAGTCTTAAGAAAGTGCTGGCAGCAAACCCAAAACTCAGTTAGGGTGTTTGTAAATGTGTTGGTTTTGTTGTTTACAATTGAATGTTAAGAGAGTGTTACTGTGTAGTCTTTTGAAAAAGGGGTGAGTGGGACCTTGAGATGTAAAAGAAACAGTTTGGTTGTGTTGGGAATCTTAAATTTGTTTTGTGATGGCATTTTGTAATAAAAACAAAAAACAAACCCTCCTCTCCCCAACCTCACTTAAGGCTCTCTGAGAGTGACTTAGGTTTTGCATATGCTGCTGCCTCAAAAATTAATGTACATTTTGAGTACTTTTACTATTATTGCTTGTATATCATATAAGGGTTGAAATTATTGTACAAATACAATAATTATCATACATTTGGCAACACTGCTGCACTGGCTCAGGGCTTATTTCCCTAGGTTCCTCCCCTTTCCAGTCATATGGCCCCCTTAGCTTCCTTACTGAGCCCAGGTGTCCCCCCTTGGCTCAATAAGCTGCCTACTCCTCTCTGCTGCCATTTACACAGCAGGGCTGCTTACTCAGTAGCTGGCTTAAATGAAGCTGCTCCTATCAAAATGCAGCTCTAGCCTGCTGCTCTCCCCTCTTAAAGTAATAGGGGTGTTGGCCCCTGTTACAGGTGCCCACCAGTCACACCTCATCATTGTTGGTTGGGCTTATTCTTAGATCTCAGTGAACTCCATCCAGTGACCTCAGGATGGAGGACAAAAGAGTGAGTCTGTAAGTCCCTAGCTCTTGCTTCCTTTAACTCTGAGATTGGCTGGGGAATGAATGATCTCTCAGTTTAGATCAGTGTGAAACAAATCAGAAACCCAGCCCAAGTACCCAGTGCTCCCAAGATGCTGTTCACAAATCGATGATCAGTCTGAAAGCTCTGGATCTCTTCCTTTAGGTCACAGAGCTTGGTGATTATGAGGTCTGAAATGCAGTGAATGTAGGGTTGGGTAATGCTTACTACAGAGGTACAGGGAAGCTGGAAGTGCACTAGGGGAAGAAGAAAAGAGGGTGAGCAGTTGTTTGCCCTGGAGCTTCCCCACATGCCCTGTAGGCATTGTTTCTTATAAGGGTCCTTACCGTTTTGCCATTTCCTCTTTCTTCTGGGTAATATCAGCCATCATGTCACTCATAGATGGAAGTGAGTTCAGTCCTAGAAAGGAAAGCCCAGAGTGTGAGAAAGCCAAAGAGTGGGGGATCCGTTGTTAACAAATTAGCCTATTCCCTGAGAAACCTGGGTGTGAGGGATGGGGGCAGCTTCTGTGGGAAATGAGAAGCAGTTTCTGGGAAAGCCGGGATGGTTGTATTGGCCCCAAATCCTGAAAATCAGAGCTCCTAGAGTGCAGTGGACTTCCAACCCCTCTGAGGGACTGAAGCTTAGTGAGCCGGCCTCTGCCCCCATCCTTGCTGGCCTTCCCAACAGCTCCAGCACCACTTCAAGGAAAGTACTGCCTGTACCTTCTCTTCTCCCTCATGTGATCCTGGACTCAAAAACACTTCCCAACTTCTAGATAGGCAGAGAAAAGGCCAAACAACCAGAGGAAGGGCTGTGGCTGCCCTGGTTTATCTGGGATTAAAACAGCACAAAGACAGAGGGAGAGAACAGCTGGCTCAGCATGACAGACTAAGATAGCGTGCAACTGCCACCCATATCCAGCAAGGCAACTTTCTAGTGCTGCCTGTAGTTTCAGACAGGTTTGTAGTCCAGAAACTCCTGTCCAGAAGCTGCTAGCCTATTCCCTGGGCACTGGCCCACGTACCCTTGAACACACGTGTGGCCCAACGACACTGGAGCTCCGAGATAGGCATGATGGCCCCTAGTGGCTGGACAAGGCCAATGAAAGCCAGTGTTGGTTTCTCCAGGTGAGGCGGAAAGACAAACTTATACAGAGAGATCTGGTTATTGACCACTTCGACACAGCTCTCAAGGAAAGGGAAGGAGAAGCTGTATCCTGTAGCAAAAACAACCGCATCAATGTTGTCTTCTTTGGTACCATCTTCGAAGATAGCAGCAGTTTCAGTGAACTCGCTCACGTTTGGTTTCACTAGCACTTTGCCAGAGATGATACGGTTTGGCAGGTCATCATTGACAGTTGGATGCTGGTTGAGAATCCTGTATAGCAAAAAGAAAGCATGTAAGAATCAGTAGTGATGGGTGGCATGCCTCTGAAAGCCCATGGGGGATGGATCTGTATGACTATTAGGTATCTTTGGGCCTTTGTTCACTACCATTCGCTGTAAAATAGCTATAGTTAGGCTGAAGTAGAATGGCTGCCTGGATGTTGAATGATCGCTGTAGCTCAAGCAGCATAAAAGCGGCCTGAAAAGTGTCAGAAACTGTTGCCTGAGGGTACCCCTGGACAGAAGACATTTTCTCTCTGCTATTCTCTGCTTTCTAAGAACCACAGTGTATAAGTCCTAAAGGCTACACATTTTTAAGTAACCATCTTATCCCTGCCCTAGGAACTGCCTTGGGCCTGGAGACAGTACCGTGGCAAGAAAGTTTGGCACCTGGGCAAAGCCCGCAGCAACAGCCTGCTCTCGCCCCATGCACAGATCTGGGGAGCACACGTCCCCCCATGCTTGTCTGGGAGTGCACGCAGTGGCAAGAGTCACCCTCCCCCTGTCCCTACACCTCTCCAAATGAGCTGTTCGCAGCTCTGTCCCATGTCCTGCCCTGGCTAGGAAGTGCCTGTTGACGCCCCTTCACTTCAGCACCTGGGGCAGTTGCCCCACTTGCTCCTCCCCTACCTCCTTACTACAGCACTGCCTGGAGATGGATAACAAGAGTCAGAGGACTGAAGTAGGAAAAGATATTTTATATCTACCAATTTGCCTTCCAGCCCTAACAAGCACAGGGAAATGCCTGATTTGTGTGAAGGCACCTGTGTGTAGGCTGTAGACCATAGTGTGAGTGACTGAATCTGGCATTTAATCTCTTTTCTGCCCATTTGTTAACCATGGATGTGGCCAAGAATTTGTTGAGGACAGCATTCAGACGAGTACTGAGCACGATATCCATTGGGTAGCCTTCATCTCCAACACGATTTAATATCCATGCTCCCCTCCTGGTGCTGAGGAAAACCTAAAAGAGGAAGAACGATGTCACAAATCCACAGGCCTTCAGGACTTCACAGCTACCTCTGTGCCTCACACCTTGGCCACTTGGTGCCCCAAGGCCTCACCAGGGATTGCTGCTATCATGACTGATGATCCCTAGTAAGGTAATAAGTGTAGGCTCTAGCTGGGATTAGAGACCTGTTGTGCTGGCCTGCTGCAAACAGATGGTGGTGGGGGCTCATTCCTCCTCCAAGATGCTTAGGGTCTAGCTGGACCAGCTTAATACCTTTGTGCTTTCATTAACATTTTCTTTGGGAAACAGCCCCTACCTTCCAGCATTTTTTGAAGTGATGGGAGCCCAAGAAGGGAAGCTGTGCCTTAAGGAAACGATCCTTCGGGCACAAAGCGAGGAAAAAGAGGGAAAGGGGCCAGGAGGCTTCCTTGGCTGACCAGAGAAATCCAGGGCAGCCTACAGGCAAAAAGGGGGGCACATAAAAAGTGGAAACAGGGAGAGATCACCAAAGACGAATATACCTCCTCTGCTCGCGCTTGTAGGGAGGCAGTTAGATGGGCCAAAACTACCATGGAGCTGAGAATGGCATCCCAAGTAAAGGACAACAAGAAATTGTTTTTTAGATATATAGGGAATAAAAGGAAGGCCCAGGGAGGAATAGGACCCCTGCTAAATGGGCAGAAACAACTGGTGACGGACAGGGGGGACAAGGCTGAACTCCTCAACGAGTTCTTTGCCTCAGTGTTCCTAAGCGAGGGGCATGACAAGTCTCTCACTGGGGTTGTAGAGAGGCAGCAGCAAGGTGCCAGACTACCAGGCGTAGACCCTGAGATGGTGCAGAGTCACTTGGAAGAACTGGATGCCTTTAAGTTGGCAGGCCCGGATGAGCTCCATTCGAGGGTGCTGAAGGCACTGGCCAACATCATTGCAGAGC